ACCCGATCTTGGGGAAAATGAAAGGGTATAAGCGCCTACTTTATACCTGGCAGGCATTGTGCTAAGCACTTTTTACAATTATTATATCATTTCATCCTCACAACAACCCTGGGAAGCAGGTGCTATCATTATCATCATCACCCCCATTTTACAGATGAGGAAACTGAGGAAAACAGGTTAAGTGACTTGCCCAGGGTCACACAGCTAATAAATGTCTGAGGCTAGATTTGAACTCATGTCTTTTTGACTCCAGGTCCAGTGCTCTAACCACTGCCCCATTGAAATGCTTCACTATCTGTTCTGCCCCACTGCCTGATGGACACTGTCATCTGATTTGCTGATATACACTGGATACTCCCGGACCTTACCATTCATCCTTCTGGAGTACATTTTCTATATGTCTGGCAGCAGAACCCTCCTATGTACAGTCTCCCCTAATTAGAATGTGAGCTCCTTTTGAGGTGAGTCTATCTCAGTTTTGTGTATGTGTGGTGTGTCTCATTGTTTAGCATATATAATAAGAGTTCGTAAATGCTCATTCACTCATTCCATTTGTTCGAAATAAATGGTGACATGATCTAGAAAGACGGCCTTGAGAGGTAAAGGGACTCAACAGGATCTGGAATTATATTAACAAGACCTCACCCGTACCAGGTATGTTATGATTATAAAGAACTTTCATTTACCTACACTGCCAATACTCACAATAACTCAGTGCTAAGCAATTTGGCCAAGGTCACCAATAAAGCCAGGACTCAAATCTTGGTCCGTCATCGGAAACCAATGTAGGAGTCTTCCTACTCTAATGAGATCTCCCTAACGGTCTTGCAAAGGGAGTACTTCGGTGCCGTGCTCAATCATTTTTTCATGCCCCGCCCCCATGCCCACTCCATGCATGAATTCTTTACTGTGAGAGACAGCTGAGTATAATGTACTCCCAGCACTTAGCACAGTGCCTGGAACCTAGTAGGTAATTAATAAATATTAACTGACTGACTTAAAAAATTCAATGACTTTGGAGTCAGAGAACCTGGGTTCAAATCCCCAGCTCTACTACTTACTAACCTGTGTGGCACTAAGTCCCTTTCCCTCTACAGGTTTCAGTTTCCACTTCCCTGAGATGAGAATGCTGAAATGACAAAAGATGGAAAGAGTCTATGTTGGAGGGGCTACAGAAAGAACAAAGATCTAAATACACTGTTTGTGGAACTGTGAACAGGCTTAACCATTCCAGAAAACATTTTTTTATTAAAGGAACTAAAATGTCCACTTCCTGAGGTGACACCACTCAACATATGCCCCAAGGAGGTTTAAAGCTGTAACAAAGTTCCACTTACACTAAAATATTCCCTGAAGCATGTTTTGTGATTGCAAAAAACTAGAAAGTATATAGGTGCACATTAACTGGGGAAGAGCTAAGCAAACCATGGTATATGAGTGCAATGGAATATGATTGTGTTATGAGAAACAAAGAAAATGGAGAATCCAGAGAAACATGGAAGATGGAGATGAACTTAGGCAGAGCGAAATAAACGAAGAAAACAATATACAGAGCGACTCTAACAAAAACCCAAAGAACCAAAGAGAAACTGAGTCCCGTGTAATTATAACTATCAACCTTGGTCCTAGAAAAGAGACGGGAAAACGTGACAGCACAGATGTCTAACTGTGGGTTCAAGACATTGCACACATTACCAGACAAAAGCAATGTGCCGGTTGCTTTTGCTAAACCAAAATCTTTTTTTTCCCCTTTTTCTTTTGAAGTCTTTCTGACAAGGGGGAAGGCTTGCTGGGTAAGGGACAATACATTTAGAAATAGGATGTAAAAATTAAAAGGCACCAATTCATGGTGGTTGTTTTTTATGAGGGTTTGACTACATGATCCCCAAGTTCGCTTCCAACATAAATTCCATGACCTACCCCAGGGCTGTTCAAGCCAAATGTTAAGTGGCCTTAGGTGAACTGTGCCATGATGAACACAACATTTTGGCGGCCACTCTCCTTTTCAGCAGTAGGCAAATGATGGACACATCTCCCCTGGGGCCAGCTTCAATGCTAAGGCAAATTTTCTCTAGTGGTATACAACCTTCCAATTTCTGCCAAGAAGCACAACTGGCCCTACCCGTCTTGGTGGTTATCTCCTCCAGGGATCTCAATAAGTCTTTGTTATGCAATTTCTCTGGGTCCCTGTGGCCCACAGATACAAGGTTCTTCTCTCCTGATTGAGATAGATTGGGCTTTGACCTAACAACTCAACCTTCTCCCACAGTTCTAAGAACTGTGGCCTTCAGGAAGTCTCTGATGACAACCAAGAGCCTGAGAAAAAAAGCCTCTCATTTCCCATCTGGCTTTTTTTCTCCTCACAATGTTATTTTCTTTTTTCAAGGCCAAACTCCATTCCCATGTCTTTCATGAAGCTTCCTCTGATCACTGCAACTTTTGATGGTTTCTTTCACCTTTCAAGATGAACTGGGATCTGTGTCACACAAATTAGTTTTTGATTATATTCCTTCTTCCATTGTTCATGAGATGGTTTTCCCTCCCCAAGTTAGTTCTGTCTCTTTCACTAGGAAGCATTGAAGGAAGGAATAATGTGTAATATGGCTTTCTGATAAAATGAAATAATATATGTGAAATGGCTTTATAGCCACATGGTGCTATACAAATTATGCTCTATTATTTTCATACATCTCACAGCATTTAGCTGAATGCTGAGCGTGCCCAATTTTCTCCTCTTTAGTATCCCATATTCTGGGGGATGGATTGGTTATTTTGTGATAATCCTCGCCACCAAGTTAACAATTATCAGTTGGTCAATAAACATGTATTAGGTGTCTACTGCATGTCAGGCATTATGAAACAAAGAAGGCAAAAACAGAACTAGGAGAACACTGTACACGTAACAGCAATATTATAATGATGATCAACTGTGAAAGCTTTAGCTACTCTGATCAATGCAATCACCTATTCCAAAGAATCCATGATGAAAAATGATATCTACTTCCAAAGAAATAACTGATGAATTCTAAATGTAGATTGAAGTGCATTTTTTTCATTTTATTTTTCTTTTTCTATAACATGGTTAATGTGGAAGTATGTTTTATATGACTTAATATGTAAAATGGTTACCAAATTTCTTGCCTTCTCAATGCATGGGGAAGGAATGGAGGGAGGAAGAGAATTTGGAACTGAAAATAAAAAATTTTAAATATTAACAAAAAAATCTTTTGTTTTTACCTCACCTAGATTTCCCTCTCAATTACTCCCCTCTTCCTGAAGGTCATTCCTCATAATAAAGATTTTTTTCAAAAAAGAAAAAAAAATCAATAAAACTAATACACTGGGGAAAAAATCCTGATGTGCAATGTTCCACACTCATGGGCCTATAATGGAGCAAGGTGAGGTGCCTGAAGAAGGTAAATTCTAAAGGGGCAGTAAAGTCTTCTCTGTTATCTCAAGACCTTAGCAGATAGCCCTGTTGTTCCCTAATGAGAAGAACTAATTCAATTTTTTAAAAGAGAGAGAATCAAGATTGATTATTTAATTGGCATATTGGTACGAGAATTCCCCTCTTCCCTTCAATGAAGGGTACTCCAAAACCTCCATTTCATGGGGGGCTCAACACAGATGTCTCACCTGGCTGCACTACTTGCTTTGGGATTTCTCTGACATGTCCACTATCTTCCTCTTCCTCCTTCTGACCTTCCCCCACTTTTAAAAGCTTCTTTTTGTGTGTTGTCTTGTCCCATTAGATTGTAAGATGGTTGAGGGCAAGGACTGTCTTTTTTTTAATTGTACAGTGTCTGGCACATTATAGGCACCCAATAAATGTTTATTGACTATTATTGAAGGGCCATAGACTCCATTTACTTGGGGAACTATGATTTGTTATTTATTTTATTTGGTTTAATCCTTGAAATCAAATGGCATGATGTCTTTGCTATACTACTAGATCATTTGTAAGATCCCTAGGTTGACATTAAAATTTTCTGCAATCTGGTCTCAAACAACCTTCCAACTTTATTATAAAGGAACTCTCTACTCCAGCTATTTGGGCCTCATCACAGTTCTCTCAATCAAGCTTTACAAATTCCTATCTATATATATTTTCTCCACTAGGAAGGCCATGGTCCCCACCCCCTTCAAATCCTACACATTCTTCAAGGCTCTTTTAAAATCCTCCTTCCTCAATGAAGCCCTCTCAGCCTACTCCAGCCTACTTTGGAACCCATAACATAACTGAACTATCTGGTGATATCTCCTAGATTAGAAGCTCCTTAACTTCTCAATGTATTTATTTCTTATCTTCCCAACTAGGCTGTGAGTTCACTGAGGACTTTCTCAGACTTCTCTGTAAATCAGTCTTCCTATAAAAGACCCTAGCAATAGGAGAATGTGGAAGGAGGGGTACCAGGAGGGTCAAATAAGATAATACATGTAAAGTGCTTTGCAAACCTTAATCTCTTTCTCCCTCTCTCTCTCTCACACACACACACACACACACACACACACACACACACACACACACACAC